CGGGTCCTAAAGTACAAAATGTGAATTTTTATTCTAAAGAAGTAATATCTATCTAAAAGAATATGTAATGAAATTGAAATAAGTTATTATGTATGGTACTAAATGAAAATAAAAGTCTAATTATTATTATTATGGATCACATAGTAAAGAAAAATGGACAAATTGTGAAAATTTCATTAAACAATAAGCAGAATCGTGCCGATGCTCTTTTCGAATGGAAAGTTACAAATAAACATAGAAACTGATCTAAAAGTGAAGATTGAAAATTAAAGGATTATCAAAGAGAACATGTAATAGAATACAGTCAACCCTCATTAATATGACATGTTGAGACACAATAAGGGAAAATTTCATAATTAATATGCCATTATAACGAACAATTTTATATATAGCTCTATATAAGACCGTATTGTTTGATTTAGTCGTATAGACGAGTTGTCATATTAACGGGTGTCATATTAATGAGATTTGACTGTAATAGAAATCAATAATTAGTAAAATTAGCACATAAAATTAATTAAAATAAAAGTTTAAATACTGAAATAAAAAATTTAAAATATGAAATTAATATAATTTTACATTATTAATAAGAAAATTTTGCGAATTATATATATCAAGTCAGCTTGTATGAACATTTAGTTTACTTCTTTAATGAATTTGAACAAAATTGTTTAATATATTATACTTTATTATTTAAAATATTCTGAATATGATATTTTATTCAAAAAAAATAGGGAAAATGTTATAACATAAAAATATTTCAAGCATTAATTAAATAAAAGCATTTGATATACTAAATATAAAGAAATAACTCATGTTTACAAAATTTTAGAGGTATAATATTATAAGATAAATTACAGAAAAATTAGCAGAGAAACGTTAGAAAAATTATTGGATAAAAGTCCCATGAAGAATGATAAAATTATGGGAAAAAATATCTGAAAATATAGTCACATCATTTATGAATTTTTTAACTCTGTCATTATTAATCACGCAAATTTTTATTTCATTCCACAAGGAGAATAACGACAAAAGTTTATAGCACTAATTTAAGATATGGAAGTACAAAGCGATAACAACACTAACAATCATATCCACGTGACTGAGCTGATAAATTTTATTTGCACTATTCATATCTGCTATATGAACGTCGTGTTGTTTTGCTTCACTGTGTCCATCTTTTTTACTGACGAAAATGGGCTCTTGTGTGCCTGAAGTTGTATTATTATTTACGGATTTGGATTTGTTTGAGTCATCCGAATTAGTTTTATTTTCTTGCATATTTGGTGAATTAGTTTTTACGGTGCTCGAAGAACAATCGACATTATTTACTTTCGCGTCTCCACCTCGTAGCTTATCAAGTCCATTGCATCCGATATTTGAAGAACTAGATTCGACATTCAATCCACGTCCAACAACTTCCAATGAAGGAAATAGTGTACTTGAGAAGTCACCCGATATTTGCGCTTTCCCATCAACTTGATGGAGTTTATCAAAGCCGTCGATCGTGGCCAAGTTTTGATTATTTTTTATAATTAAATCTTCGCCGATATGCGAAAGTTCAGGAAACGATGTGGCTTTAAGTTGAGGATTTGAAGATATCGTAAAAGTGCTGCCTACTTCAGACAATTTCGGTAGGGAGAGAGTTGTGAATGAATTGTCGGTATACGATAGACCTGACGTTACTTTGTTGAGTGAGGGAAGAGATGTTGACGCAAGGTCTTGAAAGTTTCCTTGGCCTAATGAATTTAAATTATTTGCCTGATAAAGGAATCAATTGTTTGAGTTTTTATTATTTGAAAAAAAAATTTGAATTTACAAAAGCATTAACATGCCTCAAATTGGAAATTCCCTCTACCATTTCCAATCATTTCTAACGACTCAGCAGATGAAAGTTTCGGCAATGTTAAACTTTTTAAATTCTCATTTCGAGCGAACAATAAACTACCCACACGCGGCGCATCGATTCCTTTCAT